AAGGTAGCCGGAATGGAGGTGGGTGGGTAGGTTGGCAACGGAAACTCGAACCCCACCCTACCGAAACTTTCATCCTCGCTCAAAAGTACTTTTATTAGACCATGCAGAAACTAAATCATACCGACTGCACAGCCTTTGTGATGAACCCGATCCAAAAGGTAACGTGTGACAGCCAAATCACCAATAGCTTTGTGGGGTTGCCATAAGAATACTGTGCACCTGAAGTAGTTATGTATTGGCAAAGATGGTTTGCAAGGCAACTTTGCAGAAAAATTTCGTTTTTTATTTGTTTCATAGGGGAACTCGTCTGAAGCGTGAACTAAAGTGCTAAGAAGCACAGTTGTTTCGACCTAGTTGGGTCTCATCCGCAGTGCGAATCCATCGTCCCAACTGGAGATCAAACGTGGGACTTCATAGTCAGAACGCAAGCATGCTACCCATTCAGCCAACAAGAAGCTGATCAGACGGTTTTTTTAATCCTCCTTTGACACGATACAGCACAACCTATCTTTGCGAGTTTGTTGCAGGCATCGCGCCTCGCTCGTTCCAGCACTGGACTCCGGGGTAATGACTCGGTTAGAAACTTTCACAGTATAGCGTATTCGAGCTCCTTGGTAATAAATTTCTTTCACTTTTTATATGCATATCGGTTTTCTAGCTATACGAATTGTTTGTCTTTTGGGTAACAGAGCTATATGATCCAGAGTTCTTTTGATGTTCTCCCGTGAAGCGCGTGCGCGGAAAATATAACTACTCAGAAAACTCCTGTGCAACTGCATACGTTCTACATGACTGATTACGGTTTATGATGAGCATTACAGTTTGATGTTTACTTGCTCATGGAGTCGAACCTACTGGAAGCCTGAACATATCTTGAATCGAACCCTCAACACTTCGCTGAATAGCTTTGAAGGTACGCAAAGCTTTGTCAAATTGTGACAACCCAAAACGTTTATCTGTGTATAAAGAGAGAACGGAGCACAAACACTCAGTTACGTCACGCTTAAACAGTGTCGATAAGAAGGAATGATACAGACGGGAATCCTTGTAAGGACAATCCTTGACCATTAATTCACTGGTAGATGTTGTTTTCAAGCAAAGGGATGAAAGGGCAGTGCAGTGTCATTTTCCTTGATGAACTAGAGAAGGGTCTACCTATGGTGGTGGGAACCTACTTTTCGCCGTAGGAAATCTTCGTCCTAAGCCCTGGAAATTTGATAGGCGAACCCCAGTAGCATAGGCGTGGTAGTTGGCAGAACGGCAAAGAATTTTTTCACTACTTGATATTTGTAGTGACAATTTCTCGTTCGCAAGTCACAGTGATCGTTGAGTGTGACTGGGAGGAATTCACACGAATTGGGCAGATGAACAAAACAATAATACGTTTACACTGCAGTGAAAGGATGTGGACATATATCACCTGTTTCTTAACCGTAATCGAAACACGATATCACACTGGAAATTGTACGTCAAAACCTTCCGACATCCAAACGCATGTTAATGTCCACAGAAATTGCAGTTATTTTATTGTAAGAAACCAATACGGTTAGATAATGTGCACTGAAGAACAGTAACCATAACTCATTTTCTGCTGATTACATGGTTCCTGTTGAATGGGGATGGATTGTGATTGGTCCAGAACACTGGTTTCTCATTAACATATCGCTCCCCTGTTAAAATCAATGAGCGTTGGATCCCTAAAATGACTTTGTTCAATGATTGATCCACAGAACAATCTCAAGGACTGTCATCACTAACTNTAACTCCCATAAAACGGACGGGTCACATGGATTTCAACCTACTGTGTTAAGAGAATGTGCCAGCACCCAATCAACTATTTTGTCCGAAATCTTCAATAATTGTATTTTCCAATGTCCAATCCACTGGATTTCTGTGAACAGTCAGGGTGATACT